GCCATCATCTGCACCCCAAACCACACCCACGTCCCCATCGCAACAGAGCTCCTCACCCACGGCATCCACATCCTCATCGAGAAACCCCTCAGCGACAGCCTCGACTCAGCCAAGTCATTGCTAACTTTCGCCCGCCGCCCCGAAAACAGCCACCTGACTGTCCTGGTCGGCCACCACCGCCGCTTTAACCCGTACGTTCAGAAAACCAAGCAGATACTGGAGAGTGGCGCCCTCGGCAACCCCATCGCAGTCAACGGTCTCTGGACGCTCTATAAGCCTCCGTCCTACTTCGCCCCGCCAACGGACTGGCGCCGCAAAAGCCCCTCGGGGGGCGTAATCCCCATTAATCTCGTCCATGATGTCGATACGCTGCAGTACCTCTTCGGTCCGATCACCCGCGTCCACGCGGAGAAGACACCACGGCAACGGGCGAACCCGCCGCATGAAGTTGAAGAAGGCGCAGCCCTGATTCTGCGCTTTGTGTCGGGAGTTGTGGGCACGTTTCTCGTTTGTGATGCTACACCCTCGCCGTATAACTTTGAGATGGGGACGGGGGAGAACCCGCTTATCCCTTCTCCGGGACGAGGTGCTGGTGGTGGTGGTGGTGCAGACTTCTACCGGATCTTTGGCTCCGAGGCGTGTCTGAGTGTGCCTGATATGACGCGCTGGAGTTATGATGGGCGGGCGGAGAAGAGTTGGACTGAGGAGTTGGTTGTGGAGAGGTTTGAGGTTGATCAAAAGGGCGCGCCGTTTGATTTGCAGCTGGAGCATTTTGTGGAGGTGATTGCCGGGAGGGAGCGGCCAAGGTGTTCTGGGGAGGATGGGTTACGGGCGTTGATGGTTTGCGAGGGGGTGAGGAGGGCGTTGGAGACGGGGGAGGCGGTTGAATTACCTCTGGTATAGTACTGCTGTATACACTAGACTGGTAATGAAGAGCAAGTATAAGTAGTAGAAGATATACAGACAGGAGATTACGGGCCTTGAACATGGCTCCAATCTTCATATTACATTAAGATACTGACCAGTATATTATCGGTGCGATTATGTTCTATGAACTCCTGATGACCTGGCCGACTATACATATACATGCTAGACCTTGGGCAGGTCCTGTGGCAAATGCTCCACCTGCTGGTCGCCGGTCTTGCTATACCCCGACTCCTCAATATCATGCCGGAACCGTTCCTCATCCTCCCGAAGTCTAGCCAGGACAACCTCGTGAGCACGCCAGACCGGCCTCGACTCAAACAAGGCATCCATGCTCTCCAGCGGGATGCCCTTGGTCTCTGGAATAAGGAAAAACACAAAAACGATGGACAGCACCATTAGCGAGGCAAAGAAGAACCACACGCCGTACTCCATCTTGGCGAACATCTGCGGTGTGAAGCGCGAGATGAGAAAGTTCCAGAGCCAGTTGGATGCGGCCGCACAGGCCTGTGCCAGGGAGCGCATGTTGGGCTCGAACATTTCCTAAATTGTCAGTATGAGCTTCAGCATAGGGGATGAGAGACCTACCGAATTCATAACCCAAGGAGTACCGTTCCATGACGGAGTGTAGAAAACGGTGTAAAGATAAAAGAAGAACATGGCCGCAATGCCGCCCCCGGTCATCTCCTGAGTAGGATTAGAGGCCGGGTCGGCGATCTTGATATAAGCGCCAACAATAAACAAACAGACTGATGCGCCTGCAGCCCCGATGAGCAGCAGCAGACGCCTTCCCACGCGGTCTATCAAGTAAAGGAGCCAAACAAAGGTCACCACTGTCTTGACGACTCCAAAAATTCCGGTGCTGAACATGCTGGTGTTTGCACCCTGGAGCCCAATGCTCTTGAACACCGTGGGACTATAGTAGTTGATGGCATTGATGCCACTGCCGTTCTGCCAGAAGAAGAGCATGCTTCCCAGGAAGAGGCGATACATGACCTTTTTGTTGGTTCCGGCGGCCTTGAACGGCTTCCAGAAGCCAAGGCCAATGGTGGTGCGCTGCTCTTCCAAGGCCTGGTCGACAGCGCCGATCTCCTCGATCATGTATATGTGATCCGCAGGCAGCTGGCGGATCCAGCAGAGATTCCTGATGGCATCTTCCCGACGCCCGCGGGAGAACAGCCAACGCGGAGACTCCTTGAGGAAGACTGCACCGATGAGGAGCAGGCCGGATGGGATCAACTGAACAGCAAAGGGGATGATCCACTGCTTGTGGCTGGGAGCCAGAGTTTCACTGACGCCGTACTACACGGGTTAGCATCTGAAGGTGACATAAAGAGTATGGCGTACATTGATCCAGAAGCCCACCAGACCACCAATCTGCCAGCCCAACTCGTACACTCCAACCAGTCGTCCTCGAATCGAGGGTGGAGCCATCTCGGAAATGTAGATGGGAGTGATATTTGAGCCCGCACCGACACCAAGACCGGCCAGAACACGCCCTCCGTAAAGCAGGCCCAGGCCCCGATCACCGTCGGCACCGAGCATGAGACCAGCGCCGAGGGTGAAAATCGCACCGGAAAATAGCAGACCCCATTTCCTACCCCAGAAATGACCGATGGGGTAGGCGAAGAAAGCACCGAAGAAGGCGCCGGCCTGGTAGCAGGAGACGATGTTGGCGCTCACAAGATTGACCGCGGTCTTGCTCATGTTGTTGAAACCAAACTCTTCTCTGAACGAGCTGAGGGCAAGAGTGGTTCCAATAAAGGCACTGTCATAGCCGATCATGCATGATGTGAAGGAGGCCACAGCGGCCAACAGGTAGATCCTCCAGTTGTAGACTTCCTTTGGAGTTGGTCGATCTTCGACCAGAGCAAGGATGGACATAGTGCAATCTATGACTCTGGGTACGAGAATGTCGATTCAATTGGTACTAAGGGTGAGCGGAAGATGAGAAGAAAGTTGATGGAGGCATCAACTTTATCTAAATAGCCAACAAGCCACAGCTGTGGATAAACAGTCCGAACGACGAAAAATCTGGGGATAGAGACAGCGTGGAGATGCGGAGGCGGAGGAGTCGCTGGGAACTCTGGTTAAACCATTAAAGCGCCATAATGGAGTAGAGGGAGAGAGCATTCGGAAGAAAGCATATTAAACTTTGCATCGTCTAAATGTTTAGCAATAAGAATACAGCATTCATGGGCGCCCTGGGACGAACTCCGATACCGCTGAGAGTAAGGAAAGCCAAGACTGCTAGAGTTCCAGCATACTCATGTATGACTCGTCTTCAACCAGCTCCAAGCGAAGATTCAAATGGATTGGTGACCAATCGCCATCTCGGGCAATGGGTCCGTGGCTGGAAAAGGGATACGCCGGCTGATATTCGGTCGTGGAAACTGGAACGAGACTGGAATATGAGGGAGTGGTTCCCCACGGGGCATCAACCATGGCGACCTGACAAACAGACTGGATATGACTTGGGAATCGTGCAGAAGTCAAGCACATGATTAGGCGGGAAAGCGTTCTCCCCGTGAAGACTTTGCCATAAGTATAGTAATATGATTAGTGCCGAAGCCAAATTTCTAGCGTATCTTGGCACTCGGATGTTGCCCGAAAGCACCAAGAGCCAGCTGATAGACTTGTACTGAACAGTATGGACATCCTCTTGATGAGATGATGATGACGATTTGATAATGTTGAGAGTTACGGATGATAAAGGTGATGGTGAAGTGTGAAGAAGAAACCGAGGGAGAAAGACTGGGGATGGCTAAGCAAACATCCGAGTCACGCGCAGCTAAACGTTTCTCCGGTTTGCAACTACAACCTCACTAGTACTACAATTACGTCCTAGGTAGTATGTTAAGTATCAAGTTTCTACATCTTCATTTCAGACCGTGAATCGTGCATCAACATCGACCTGAATAGCGTCAAGTATCCAATTGTCCTGCAGTACCATGGCCTCCCAGATCATGGACACCGTCCTCGAACGACAACCCCCAGAAGAACCCATCAACATCCCCGATCACTTCGATGGAGTGGCATATCTCTACGGCCATCCTCTACTCAACTCTCTATCACCACCTCTCCATCAAACAATATACACAACCCTCGGTCTAAACTGGACGCAGATCCCTCTCTCCAGCGTCTACGGGACATCAGAAACCTACCCTCCACCATACACCCGCTCACCCCCGATCCCCAAATTCTTAGCATCGATCAAGTCCAACCCAAAGTTCGTCGGTTCCTCCGTGACAATGCCATGGAAGGTCACCATCATGCCGCATCTCGACGACCTCACCGAGGACGCCCGCCAAGCCGGCGCCTGTAACACCATCTTCCTCCGCCCTGAAGCGGACGGCTCCACCTCCTACGTCGGCACGAACACAGACTGCATCGGCATCCGCGAGGCTCTTCTCCAGAATTCTAGCGGCCAGGAGGCATTCCGCAACAAGCCCGCTCTCATCGTCGGCGGAGGCGGCACCGCCCGCACAGCCATCTACGTGATGCGCAGGTGGCTCGGCTGCAGCACCATCTACGTCGTTAACCGTGATGCGGCTGAAGTAGCTGCCATTCTGGACGAAGACAACCAGCGGAATCCCAGCCTGGACAAGGCAGCGCTCGTCCATGTAACTGACCCCGCGGTGGCGGCTCGTCTGGAGCCTCCTGCGGTCATTGTTTCGGGGATACCCAACTATCCCCCGAAGACACAGGGGGAGATACAAGCTAGGGAAGTTCTGCAGGCGTTCCTAGGGCAGACCCCTGCGACAACGTCTGAATTCAAAGGGGTGATACTGGAGATGTGCTATCACCCTGTACCGTGGACGGAGATTGCACAGCTTGCTTCGACAGCTGGGTGGAAGGTGATTCTTGGTTCGGAAGCGTTGATTTGGCAGGGTTTGGAGCAGGCAAGGCTGTGGACGGGTAGGGACGTGGTTGCTGAGCCTGGGCTGGTGGAGAAGGTCAAGGAGGTGGTGGCCAAATTGATTGCTGAACGGGTGCCGTCAAGGTCGAACTTATAACCTGCATGTATAAAAGATTGCTGTATATAGAATCTCTCTAGACGAATAACATTTCTGAAGCTATGCACCAGGTCGCATATAATCCAACTCCCTCACTCGCTTCCACACCTCCCTCACTGTCCTCTCCTGCGTCTGTCTCCCCGTCTCGGTTTCGGACGGCCCAGCCGGCCGAATAGCCAGATACAGCCGACTCCCCAATCGCGCCTCCTCTATCAAATCCGTCTCGGGGTTCGCAGGCGGATTCGCCGTCGTGGCCAGCCCCCCGGCTTCACGCAGAATCGCAATACCAGCAGCTACATCCCTGTCCCATCCACCAATCAGCCTGTATCTTCAAAAGTGAAACTTTAGGGGATATACCACTCCCAACAACCCCCCTCCCACCAAATATCCACCGCCCCCATAGCCGTATACGCCAGATCCAACGCCGCACTTCCCAGACTCCTTACTCCATGCACCATCCCCCCACTATCAGCAGCCATATTCACAAAACTCTCAACCTTGCGCGACAGGTTTCCCCCAGGGATATCTCGCCTATCCTTACCCCACTCACACGCAAAAATACACCCCCTCGGCGCAGAGGCCGGCATCGGGGGGATGGGGTTACGGCGTAGCGGCAGACGGCGCGAGCCGCGGGGGTCATTTAACCAGGCGCCGCGGTTGACACAGGAGGAGAAGAGCTGGTTCGTGGCGGGTGCGTAGATGACACCGATGACTGGGCGATGAGCCACAATAAACCCAATCGAGACGCAGAACATGGGGAAGAGGTGGGTGAAGTTGACGGTTCCTTCAGCTTAGCTTAGTAGCTACCCTAGCTAGAAGTGGATGGGTGGAGGGGGGGATACCGTCTAGAGGATCGATGCACCATGTTGGATGTGCGTCGATTAGATACGAGCGGGATTGACCCTGTGCGTAGGTTTCTTCGCCGAGGAATCTGGTTGTTGGACTTAGTATGTGCTTGTAGAGGTGTAGACTGCAGGTGACTGGACGGACTTGTGCTCGGGGTATCTGGTTTGAATGGCTGTTCTGACGAAGGTTTCCACGTCTAGGGTAGATTAGTTATTTTTTTTGGCTTTCTTTGATACCTAGAAGGATGTGGTAGATGGAATACCCTCGTCAGTTTGCGTGACAATATCAACCGCGTTGTCCTTCTCTGTGTATGCGTATGCGGTCTCGCCATCGCTTGAGATCTGCTTGTCGATGCGCTCGAGGAGAAGGTCGCCGGCCTTACGACCGAGATCGATTGCAAAGGCGTAGATCTCGTCTAGTTGGTCTTGGGTAAATTCTATAGCCATTTCCTTGAAGTTCCTCTATGAAGTATGGATTGTGTATGTAAATTGGGAAGATAGATGAGTCAAGAGAGATCGCAAGCCAATGGACTGGGATGTCATGTCCTCAAGGAACCCAGAAACCCGTGAGTAACCGCTTCGGATATTTTGCTTTGCGAGAATGATACTACAGAGTACAGTAATCGATGGAGCGAGACTGCATCCATAACCTATAGACTCAGGATGACCGCTCGTACATGCTACGAGTCAAAGCCACTCTTGACCTTAGCATCTGAAGAGTTACGCCAATGGCACAATGGGATAGTCAATATAAATGTAACTTCTCTTCCTAATAATACAGCAATTGCTATGCATCCCATCTCATCGCGATGCAGTAGACCGGGGGGCAGTGGATACTCAATGCGGACTGTACTCCTCGCCGGCAAAGCGCTCTTCCCTCGGGCTTTCGTTTCCCCATAGTCTACGGATGCCACCCCGCATGGCATGGGAATAAGCTATACGGAGTCTCTGCATGTTTACAACAGAAACTACTGACAGATAGATTATCCATGGTTTAAGCATAAGACGGCGATTTCGTAGACTGCAGACATCCACGATCAGTGGTCTCACTTCTCTGCAACCACCACAATTCAGACTGTTCAGTCCACATCTAACATCAACTCAGCATGGGCAAATCAATCCTCCTTATCAACGGCCCCAACCTCAACCTCCTCGGCACCCGTGAGCCTCAGATCTACGGCAGCACAACCCTTGCCGACGTCGAAGCCTCCTGCAAAGCCCATGCCGAGTCGTTAGGCGCCTCCCTGGCAACCTTCCAGTCAAACCACGAGGGCGCAATCATCGATCGCATCCAGGCCGCCCGCGGGACAGTCGACGGCATCATCATCAACCCCGGCGCTTTTACGCATACTTCTGTGGCTATCCGGGATGCGCTGCTAGGGGCGGCGATCCCCTTCATCGAGCTGCATGTGAGCAATGTGCATGCGCGCGAGCCCTGGAGGCACCATAGCTATTTCAGTGATAAGGCGGCGGGGATTATCGTTGGATTAGGAGTGTATGGGTACAAGGTTGCCGTGGAACACGTGGCGTTGAACTTTAAGGAGAGGGCGGTGTTGTAGTTGGCGTTGGGTAATCTCTTCGTATACCCTTTGTACATTCACATCTATGAACATCAAGCGTCAAGCTAAGTGCAGTCATAACAACTGACTTCTGTCACCGTTTCGGCTGTCGTTCTCGGTGTATGACGGCAGAACCCTCGGAAAGTTGCTGGGTCTGTGCCAGAAGAAAAGGCTCTTGACCGGAGTATGAGTATAGATCCGAAAGCCCGGCATCAGGGACAAACCCCAGATTCTGCATAAACTCGGGCTGGTTGTCACCCCTGTCCAGTCATCAGCCATCAGTCAGCAGTCGACAAGAGAAAAAATGGCACTCACTTCTCGGTACCGTCCAACGAGGCCAGCTCGTCAAATAATGCATCAAGGTCTGGCGCGATTCGCGGTCGGCGTATTGATGTATATCCTTCAATATCAATAAATGTCCCGAGGTGCAGATTCGGATCGCTATATGTCTGCTGGTACTGGGGCGTGTTTACGGGAAAGGGCGATGGTATGTCTGGTATTGTACTTCGGGCATTGGTGAGTTTTGGAGCGGAAGAGATCAAGGAGTGAGGTCTCAGGGTAGTGGAGTTCTGTAGCTGAGAAGCAGGGTGCGAAGCTCCAGCAGCTCCCCTGGCTGAAGGTGTGGGTAGAGACAGAGCAACGTTGTCTTCATTCGGCGTCCTTGTCCAGGGACTTGTCAAGAACGAGTCCGGTGTGGAGAACATAGCCCGAACCTCGTGTTGTCCACTAGCGTCCAAAGGCTGCAAGGCCGGATGGCCAGTCATACCGTCCGATGATGCATGTCGAGCAGATGCATTAACGTTATGTAGATGACTTAACTGGCCCGCTGGCGTCTGTGCGAATGCATCTTCCGCTCCTAGTGAGAGACTAGCTCCCTCTGTATCGCTGTCTTGCAACCATACCGTAGAAAGATGCGAGGAATACGCTTCAAGTTTGTTCTTGAGGCCTAAATCAAGTTCAAACACCCTTGGCGCACCTTGTCCCTCCCCCGGGGAGATACCAAACGTCAAAAGCATTCCAAAGATTGGACTTGTCGCCGCCAGGCTATAAGTTTCCATGTACTTTTGCAACAGCAGCAGGAGCCTCTTTAAGCTCTCAATCGCACGAGTCTTTCTCATGTCTGACATATGTTTATCCCCCTGGCGTATAGTATCCAAAGATAAAACGGTGACGCTGCTTTCAAACATCATTTCCAATCCAAAAATGTGAGGCGAGGCAAGCCTGGTGGGGCTTTGCAAGTCAACACGATAGTTTCTGGGGAGCGCCGACACCCAATGCTGTAACTGTCGTTCCAGCGCCTCGAGTTGTGGTGCAGGATTGTTCTCCAATTGCTTTGTGCAACAAGCCTCGTTCAAGATGCACATCAAAGAAACCAGCCGGTTGAATGTGCTGAGGGCATGAAGGGGTCCGCGGTGAGAAGGACCACGCGACGATTCTGGGGTTCGCAGACCGGTCTGATCTTCCCAAGGGTGCCATTCCTCCAGACCATCCTCATTGATCGGGCCGGTCTTGACAAGATCCTCTTTGCGTAGCGACGGTGCCTGACCAGTCTTGCTGGAAATCAGTGTTTCCAGTACGAAACACCCTAAAAAGACGTGTTTTGAGCGTGCCGAGCCCTTCTCATTTCCAGCCATGCCAGTCAGTGGAGAATCCAAACCCAGCGATCGTGCAATTCGAACTGCTTGCCCTACCAGCATCCATGCAGCTTTCCACTCTTGTTGTCCGAGTTTGACCAAGGACAGAATCAGCAGAGCCTGCACATGTCCAATCTGATGAATGCCCTTCTCGGCGGGTATCAATGCTCTTGCCGTGGCGTATAGCTGACTAGAGCGTGGGCGGTTTGGAGAAGCTCCCATCTGACGTGTGGCCGCGATTGACCTCTCTTGCATGGACGCTAGAGTCAAAACTGCCCAAAGGGCCGCGCAGTCCCCCGACCCTGTCGTCCGAGACGAAATTTGCGCATCATCTTCAGACTGACGGAATGCCGTTCGGAGTATATCATGCTTCTCGAGGATGGGAAACCAACACTGTGTATAAGAAAAATAGACATCAAGCAGCGTCCACACATTGGAGGGGAGCCGAGGGAGGGTTGAAGACTCTGATTGTATGGAAGGCTGCGACAAAATGTTCGATGTAGACGCGCCAATGTTATCTGAACGGAGGACTGTCTGTGTGCCGCTGTCCTTTGTGGTACGAGGTGGCAGATAACTGGGGACAGGTCCAAATGAGGGGGTTTTGGAAGGAGATAGACCGGTAACCCGTGATTCTTGACGCGCGTCCGTGACACCTTCAGGTAGCTGCCACTCGAGGGCGTCCGAGGAGAGCGCACTGCTCCCCCCAGCTTCCGGAGAATCCGTCTCCCCAGGCCCACGAATGGCCTTGTCCTGTTCCTCCTCCGGCTGGTCCAAAAAAGTCAACATGCGCTCTATGTCTTTGAGGACGGCGCTATTCTTCCAGGATGAAACAATATCATCGGAACCCTCCGCCTCTTTGCCCGTAGTAGCCAGGTAACTCGGCATATTGGCTGTCCTGAGCAAGGCGCGGACCACCTCCTCGCTCCCCTTTATCCTGCAAAAGACTAGTCCCCACAGCAACTCCAATGTGCGAATGTATCCGGTCGGCAAGCCTCGCTTCTTGGGGTTGGTTTTATAAGTGCAAGGTCGACATAATGATGCGCAAGTCGAGCAGACCGGCTGCACTCCATCGCATTTATCCTTCTTGGAGCGACAGCTGTCGCAGGCACGCGACACTCGCTGCCGCTTGGATTGTGCGGAATTCTCGTCAGCAGCCATGCGTCTGGCATCTTCGTCGGCATCGGTCAATCGCCGTTTCGACCTGCTACCAGCCCCTGGGGCTTGGCACGTATCATTGCTCATGATTTTCTGTACAACGGGCCACCAGAGCGTTCTGGACGCATGGTCATGTTTGGCCCGTTATCACCGAGATGAATGCTTTACCGGACTTGATGTCAATCGGTCGACCTGGGTCTTTGTCGCTTGAGGATTGGGAATAGGCACAGAAACTAGTCTTGTTAGAGGCAAGCTCTTCCGGGTCAGATAAAGATACAGATGAAGCTAAAACCAATTGGAGATAGAACGTGTGGTATCAGAGGTGCGTGTCTCTTTTGTCAGAGCGGAGAAGAGAAACTCGAACGGAGCCTTTTTTGCTGGGAGGCTTCGGGGAGAACCACAACTGCTTACCCGCGGCTGGAGTGATGTTAGATCTCTCTCATACGTTCTCGATTGATGCCGGAATAGCAAAATTGAATACCTGTCACCTGGCAGGAAATACTACAGTCGATTCGATTCCAATGATTGCCTTCTGATTCAGCAATTAGCAAATGCTTCGAGACAATCCCGAATTCTGGGGTGATGGCCCCAGGCATCAATTACCGACGCCTTCGATCCCCGCGGGGTAAATTACGTAAAGTGACAGTATCATGCGCGGCAGAGTGTTTGTCCGCGGTGCCTCAGGCCATCAGGCGTGAAGGGATCTTCCCCGCGGGCCACGAAGAATTGAGGACAAGCTGACACCGTCCTGACTGTCCCTCTCAGCCTGGACCATTTTCTGGCCGTTCAACTCCTCTTCTTGGATTCATGAGGCGCACAATCTGGCCAAATTTGATTGGTGTTTGTCATATCAACGCACACATTGGGCCCTTTCTTCCTGACCGCTCACACTAAATCATCACTCATAAGCAGCTTCTTTCAATATGTGCAGCATTAGAGTCTCCGAATGTCCATGATCTTCAAATCCAAGATTACTTTCAGACGACATGTCGATCCTAGCGAGGCCGGCAAAGCGCAAGTTTAATGAGGTTGAGGGGATTGACGCACCGAATAGAGACATTTCTGCTCGGGGCAGTCGCAACCATGGCGTCGTCTCAGGCGCGATCCATCCATCAATCCTCGCATCTGAACGTGATGCTGCTCTTAGTAGGCCTGAGTCTTGTCCGAGGCACGAACAGTCGGATACGTGTGGCGAACATCATTGGTACTCAACCCCTCCGCGCACGTTGAACTCGAATCGCGCATCCCCAACACGCCTCAAAAGTCCTGCGCAAACACAGAGGATTTTCTCTCATAATGCGTCGATTGTATTGATTGGTATCCGTGGTACTGGAAAATCCAGTCTCGCTGTCATTCTCGCCGCGACCTCGGGAAAACGAATGATCGATGCGGATCAGTATTTCCAGCAAGTGACTGGTCGCTCCCGGGCTGCATTCAAGAAGGAATATGATCTCACCGATTATCGTCAGCAGGAGGCCCGAGTGATGGAGTCAATGCTTGCAGAACACAAAGAGGGGTGCGTCATTGCGTGTGGACCCGGATCCATGGAGCGCAGCGGGCAACAATTGCTGCGGGAATATGCGAAGACGCATCCTGTCATCCACATTATTCGAGATCCCGAAAGCATTCAGTCGTATTTGAAAGCCTGGGATACGGTCAAAGTCTGCCGGTTTCTGGAGCTTTCCGGCCCGGTATATCGGGCTTGTTCCAACCTGGAGTTTTTCAATGTCTCCGAGAAGGGTTTCACGGATTACTCGGGAAGAGACAACCATAACCACTCGCCTTTGGAGTTGGAACTCGATCAGCGATCTCAAGCCTCCACTCCCTTCTTGACCCTCAAGCGGTTACAGCGCGATTTCCTGAAATTTGTTGCTTTTGCAACGGGGGACCATACCATCCTGAGTGGTCAGCAAGCGTCGTTCCCACTGTCGATGCAGCCGGTTGAGTCTCGTATGTTCACCTACGCTGTGACTGTGCCAATATCATCCCTGTCTGAGCGCGAATTAGACATTGAGGATCTGGAATCCACCGCCGATGCCTTTGAGATCAAGGTGGATATAACGGAAGGTACTTCCGATGGCCAAGGTGTTGACTCCGGTCTAGCAGACAAAATAAGTCAAACTGTGGCGACTATCCGGCGAAACATAGTCATTCCCCTGATATACCATGTCGAAAGTAATTTACGCCCTGTAGGCTCCCCTGCGCTTCACAACGGGCCCTTACGCCGCTCGGACGATACATACCTGAATCTTAGCAAACACGGTTTACGACTAGCTCCTGAGTACTTGACGGTCGATCTCTCCTATGGCGATGATATCTTATCGCAGATCATCGCTTCCAAGGGGACGAGCAAAGTGATAGGGCATTTCGCATGGTCCCATCCTTGCCCAAGAGGTTGGGAGGATGCGGAACCACTGGCAATGTACGAACGAGCCAGAAGACTAGGATGCGATGTGGTTCGGTTGACGCAGCCGGCAACGACAATCGAGGATAATTTTGCTGTTGAAAGATTTCGCCATCATGTCAGAGGGCTTCCATGGCAGCTACCCGTCATAGCCTTCAATACTACCCCTCTGGGCAGAATGTCGAGCTGCTTCAACCCCATTCTCACATCCGTGACACCTCCGCCACTGTTACCAGAGATGCAGTCCAAGTCATTACCCTGCCTCACCTTGCGAGAGGCACAAGAAGCACTCTATACCTCATTCGCTCTGGATCCGATGCAGTTCTTTGTTTTCGGGGCGAATGTCACATATAGTCTGTCGCCTGCGATGCACAATGCAGCCTTCAAAGCATGTGGGATACCGCATAAGTATACTATTTATCAGTCGCCTTCCCTGCGAGGTTTGAATGAATTGGTCGAGAACCCCTATTTCGGCGGGACAAGTGTCAGTCTGCCCTACAAGACGGAAGTCATCCCCCTTCTCCACTCCATGTCACCGCATGCTCGGGCTATCGGAGCTGTGAACACGTTGATACCCATCCGGAAGTTTCCTGATGGCGTGGACACCGCTATTGAGTCTTCACTTTATCTTGAGAAGAGCCGGGCTGGTCCCACCAAGGCGTTGCACGGAGATAACACCGACTGGATTGGGATAGGAAATTGCTTCCGAAGAGGTTTATCGCCCGCCAATGCCATCCGTCCTTCGTCCACAGGTTTGGTTATTGGAGCCGGCGGTATGGCTCGGGCGGCAGTGTACTCAATGATCCACCTAGGAGTGCAAAACATCTTCATCTACAATCGTACCATGGCCAACGCAGAGAAGTTGGCTCACCACTATAACCGACAGAATCTTTTGGCGCACGGATGGGCAGGCCCGAATTCTCGCCCGAAAGTCCACGTCCTACAGTCTTTGCAGGATAACTGGCCTGCCGATTACAAGCCACCGACCGTCATTTGCAGCTGCATCCCTGCTCATAGTATCGGGGGAGTGCCAGCTCCGAACTTTCAGTTACCTTCTCAATGGCTGGGGAGCCCTACCGGAGGCGTAGTAGTGGAGGTAAGTGAAATGATCCAAGCATCGCTTTAACAGCCGAAGAGACGGAGACTAATGTCATGCAGCTGGCCTACAAGCCTCTCAATACCCCGCTCATGAAGCAAATGCGCGCCCTCTCCCATCGCGGCTGGGTTGCCCTTGATGGGCTCGATGTTCTCCCAGAGCAGGGATTTGCGCAATTTGAGCTCTTCACGGGTCGCCGTGCTCCGCGGCGAGTAATGCGCAGAATCGTGTTGCAGGAATACCAAGAAGTGGAGGGACAAGAAGAGCAAAGCGCTATCCAAAGTAGGCTTGAAAATCTAGACGGACAGCCTACTTGATCCAGTCCCTTCAACAATTACCATAATACTCTGAGCAGCCTCCGTGAGGGAGGGATCTGACCGAGACTTCGAGCCATTGGCCGCTTCAATCTACAAGAGTTTACGGTGTCTCATCCGGACAGTACATGACAATCCCGAAATGGGAGAACTGTTTATGGCCAAGCATATGTCTACAATCAGGGCAAGTTTGAAAGAGAGATGCATCATCAAGGCTTACCTGCACGTACTTCTTCTACGTCAAGCCAAACGGTGAGTATGAGGCCAGAGGCACGCTGCAACCAAATCGACGTATCATTAGCTTCGTAGCAGCTATCCTATCATTCACAATCAGAGTCAATTTTCGACAACTTGAGGACATCCTCCTCATCAAATCCAGGCACCATTTTAACAAAGACGACCTCATCAAAGTCACACTCTCAGTTCTTCAGAGCAAGTGGCAGTAGTCCAGGTCGAGCCACCAGCACAAAATTCGCACAACTCAACCTCTCATGATCCGACATTCGATGCACGACAATCGACCGATTCCCGAAATAGGCAGGCTCACCCGGCTTCGTCGACAGGTAGAGGTCATTGTACCGCGTTTCAAATCCCTGATGATCCGCCGTGACGATGGGCCCGTGTTTCCCGCTCAGGTCGCCGATCTGGCAAGTCTGTGGGCTCGTCATGTTGCAGGCGGCCTTGTCCCCGCGTCCGTACGGGTCGAAGGGTTTACCGGTCTGGTAGCAGTCGCCGTCTGCGGGGACGGGGTCCTCGTGGATGTAGTATGCTGCGCGTGTTTCGTGTGTCAGTGAATGCAAGGTGCGGGGAAGGGAGGACACTACGTACCTAGAGCTTCATTGTCGGGGATACCCCAGAAGTCGGCGTGGACTTTGACGCCGTCTCCGTCTCGGGGTGCGTAGAGAGTGATCCAGCCGCGCAGTGTCGTGTTCTGCCGATGTGGGAGAGTGGCCTCGTACAGAACGTCGCCGGTGTCATTGTCATTTTTCACGACGGGAGCAAAGGTGCTGTTCGGAGAGACGGCCACGGCAGTTGATGAGACGCCGAGTCCCAGAAGAACAAGTGTTGTGAGGATAGACTGCATATTGTCGTCTCACACGCAATCAGATTTCCTGATTGAATAATATTAATTGCAGGGTTGTCCCTTGTTCCTATCCTACAAGGGCGAGGGGAGGGTGCGACTCCGTTTATATCAACCCTTGGAAGGAGTCAAGGAGTCTGGATGTATCTGGACGTCCGCGGAACTCAAACGAAAGTCATCACTCGATCGTGGAAATCGAAATAGTAGCAACATTTTTACCCTGCCTCCTGCTCCTGATTACAATTCATAGATTCATTGGCGGGAACGCCTCACCATGGGGAATGTACGCGCTCCGCCGCAGTAATGCATGCCTCTGCAGTCCCGACGCCACCGGTTTAACTTCCATCTGTACCCTGCAGCATGTCCCTGTATGCCCCTGCAGTATGTCTCACTGCTACCGTAGGTTTTTTAAAATGTAATGCTCTGTTATCGCTGGTCGATGAGGTCATGCGAGTTGCTTTTGGAATGAAAGACGCGGTTATGCGATTGTGCTTCAGAAAGGCACGCGAGGAATGTGGCTTGGTAATGGTGCCTTGAATCGTCATCGTCCATTGAAGCATACCTATTATTCGAGTCAGTACCTCTGCAGTACCTCTCTAAAGAGGTAGGGAGGTGTTGCTCCTCTAACTCCGTTGCTCTCATCCATTCCAGACGCAACATATCTGCTCATATCGGGGTCCTTTCACAAGTACATCTATACGCAACAAGGAAGCGAGGACAATCAATCAGTATACATATACATGACACGCACTTAAAATAAATAAATGGAGAACGGAGGGCAGTATCTCGTTAAGTGATAGATGAGAAGGAAGTAGGATTCCTCGGCACCTCCAGAGACCCTTCCCCTCATCGGGGTACTTTAGCCCGGGAATCCTGATCAGCAGGCAGGATTGCATATAACAGTGACTGATCATCGTCCCCGCATCTCCTAAACTATATCGATATCCTATCGGTAGTAAAGGATGCCCCGCAATGTTCTAAGCCTTGTTCTCGTACACCGAACCCTCGGAATTCTCCCCGTGTGCTCGCTCTAAGTCACCTGCAGCAGCTACGCTTCGGATATTAACCAGATGAGTGCATCGGACGGTGTCCGGCCCCACGGACAGATCCAGATTATATATTTAGAATATCGCTAGGATGTAGGCCTGACCGACATAAACCATATCGTCGCTACAATGACTCTCGCCCAAAGCCACTACGTGATACAACTCCCTATAACCCCCATAACAATCGGGACACTAAATCCCCGCGACATCGCCCAGCAATGGCTCACGAACCTGGAGACCCAGCTGGGCAAACTGCCAGTCCCCCAGCTCAAGTTGTCAGAGCTTTTCCACAAGGACTCGTGGTGGCGCGACATGCTAGCTCTAGACTGGGACTTTCATACAATCCACACCGTCTCCGAGATCGAGCAGTACATCGGCCGGAACCAGTCACGGGCCCGCCTGACAGCCTTCCGTCTCCAGCAGATGGGCAGGTTCCAGCCTAAGATCGAGACGCCGGTTGAGGGGCTACGGTGGATCTCGTCGATCTTCTTCTTCGAGAGTCGGGTGGGCCGTGGCACGGGTGTGCTGCGTCTGACTCAGGATGGGGCCGGGGTGTGGAAGGCGTATTCGCTTTATACGAGTTTGCAGGGGTTGAAGGGCTTTGAGGAACCTCTGGGTCTACAACGGCCTGAGGGGACTATTGAGTCGATGCCGGGGAATCCAAGTAAGGAGAACTGGCTGGAGAGGCGACAGAGGCAGCTTGAATTCCAAAACGAGGAACCTACGGTGCTCCTTGTTGGTGCTGGTACTTACTTCGCAGTTCGCCGTCAATAGCGCGTGCTGACATGCCGTAGGACAAGCTGGTCTCAATACGGCCGCTCGGTTGCAATCACTTGGGATCTCATGCCTCCTAGTCGACCGCAACGAGAGGATCGGTGACAACTGGCGGAAGCGGTACAGAGTGCGTCTAGGTTCACTTCTTGATATCGACGCTTTACAGCGTGCTGACTGCCCAAGACCCTTGTGACGCACGACCCGGTAGAGTTCACACACATGGCCTACCTCCCCTTCCCGCGCAACTGGCCCCAATTCACCCCAAAAGACAAACTCGCAGATTGGTTCGAAGCATACGCCAGTATCATGGAGCTGAACGTATGGCTCAAGACAAGGGTCAAGTCGGCCGCCTACGATGACGCCAAGGCCCAATGGTCCGTCACCGTCGTCCGCGGGGATACCGGTTCGGAGCGAGTCCTCCATCCCCGGCACATCGTCTGGTGCACGGGTCACTCGGGGGAGCCCAAGATCCCCACTTTCCCGGGCCAGGCACAATTCAAGGGGACAGTGTACCACGGGAGTCAGCACCATGATGCATCCGACTATGACGTGAAGGGAAAGAAGGTGGTTGTTGTGGGGACCGGAAACAGCGGCCATGACATCGCGCAGAACTTCTACGAGAACGGAGCGGACGTGACCATGCTGCAGCGCAGCGGGACGTATGTCATCACAGCGGCCAAAGGGGTGCTGATGCAGCACGAAGGGCTGCACGAGGAGAATGGGTACGTCGTCTCCCTCAACACTGTGACTGACCGTCAACAAACTAACATACCTAGTCCGTCCACAGAAGAAGCAGACATCATATCCGAATCGCTTCCGTACCCGGTAAAGTTCGCTCTAGACGTGCACTTCACGAAACGCGCCTACAAAGCCGAAAAGGACATCCTAGACGGCCTTACGGCCGCCGGGTTCGAGCTCGACGTTGGCGTTGACGGGGCGGGTATCTCCCGCGCGTACATGACCCGCGGTGGCGGGTATTACATTGACGTGGGCTGCAGCCAGCTTATCGCCGACCGGAAGATCAAAATCAAGAGGAGTCCAGAGGGGATAGCGGGTTTCAACGACCGTGAACTGCTCCTGAAAGACGGAAGCGCATTAGACGCGGATATCGTCGTGCTGGCGACGGGATACGACAACATGCGAACCACTGTGCGCAAGGTATTGGGCGATCGAGTCGCAGACAGGTGTAGGGACGTCTGGGACTTGGATGAGGAGGGTGAGATCAATGCGGTAGGTGAATTCTTTCGGACTGTTTGTCAACGATGCTGATGGAACACGGACAGATGTGGCGCCCAAGTGGCCATCCCGGATTCTGGTTCATGGGTGGAAACTTGGCCCTGTGCCGGGTTTATTCCAAATTCCTTGCGCTGCAGATCAAAGCCATTGAGGCGGGTCTGGTGTCACAGGATACTGATACCGTCCTTGCGAAGCTGTGAGGCAGGAGGCTAGAGGGAAAGTATCAACAATAGATGCAATGTCCGCAAAGGATGAAAGGCAAGCTGCACATAAGACAGGAAATGAGGCCATCCTAAGAATGGTAGAATATTCAAAACATATAGAGACAGGGAAGCCAAACCAACGCCCAAACGAAACTCATTACGGCATTATATCTTCTAGGCATGATGGAGATCGTCTCACCGGGACAAGAGCCCTCTATGTACAAAAAGTCAAGAAGAGTGACACGAAAGCAAGTAGATATCTTCGCCGGACGCCTTTCTTTTCGCCGTGGGCGAATGAACAACATGTACAAAGCAGGAGAGCAAACAAACTGAATCGCTGAATCACAGAAATATGTACTCTCTAGCTTTAGGAGTCTCCGAGCATGTCGCTAGCGCCGTCGTCAATGATCATTTGCACATCCTTGATCGGATGTAAGAGCATAGGTGGAAGACACATTCTTCCCTCTCCAGCCAATTCTTCCTGCTCGCCGCCGTCATTGTCGACCTTGTAGCCGAGCCACCGCCGCCAGAGATTCGGCGAGAAGCCAGCCGAGTAGAACCAGGTAGTCCCGCGGAAGTTATGCTCCCGGTCACCGAACACAGAAGTCCGAGCACCACCAGATGCGCCGTTCCGGCCAGCGTTGAAAACGGATTCGAGGTATTTCGTCGGCCAGCGACGGTCGATGTACACAGAATGCGGAACGTAGACCGCTTTGAAGCCGTGATGCAACGCGGTGGTAGCGGGCCACATCTCGGAGAACATGGTATGTCGTTTTAGACTTGTCTCTTTGTGCATGGTGAGAAGCAGCTTGCGTGACAGTCGAGAGGCGGTGATAATAGCTGTCCGTCGAGGAGGCATACCGTTCTCCTTATTGTATCCGGTCACATCGTCGCGAAGAAGCCAGGTCGTGCCCTCCGGGTCATACAGAGGGTTGAAGACAATAAGGTCTGCCTCCTCACCTACACCCCATTCGTTCTGATCCTTCTCCATCGTAGTCTGCGGGATGCCTTCTCCATCCACCTCGAGAATGTCCCGCTCATCCGGGCGTTCGGGTCCCCAGATCGGCTTGTCCCCTTGACGATGGAGAGGCGATCTGTCTCCAGAGGATGGGTCCGAGCCATGTTTGGCGGCCGCGCTCCATACATTGTTCGGGCTATTGGTGCCGCTCTCAGTCTGTACACGGACTGTATGTCGGAAATCCTCCCAGGATCCATGGACAGAGGGCACATAAAAGCGAGCATTCCTCTCCCACAGTAATTTGCGCGGCTGTTCCCGCGCCCAGCTGCCCACTTTGTCGAATAGATGGTACCAGTGGCCTGTGTATCGCACGTCCATCTCCCAGTTCCAGTAGAAGTCGTACTCCGGATGTTGGTGTGCAAAATACTGCATTGGCATGAACGTGCTGCGGTAGACACCGTGAACAGGCAATCCACGCGTCCATGTCTCTTCCAACCCGGGATAGACGAGAGCCATCTGTTGTTCTGACCAAAGAGTACCCATGCCGCGAAATTCCTCGGGAAGAGCATCGTTGAGCACGCGCTCGTAGGTCTCGTCGTCCGACCAGATTTGCAAGTTTCCATCTTTGACATGGACTAAGAAATGAATGGTATACTCTCCTCCAGACAACAATGAGAGCTCCGAAATCAGCGAGCGCAAGTACAGAATGTCATCACGTGTGAAGTGAAAATCGTGCCATGTCCGAATTACCACTGCCGTTCGAGGTAGGCGATCCGCTTTCGACTG